TCTCCGTTGTCACAAACGGTTTGGAAAGCATACCACACTCACAAATGGCTTGCCAAACCACAGCCTTTGTACCGAATTTTTCGGTAAAAATCAACTTATCCGTGTCGTCAACACTTTTGCCATCACGAACGTTGTAGTAATGATCACCACGAAGAGTTTTGTAATCAAATTTAACGTATGATTCATCGTCCATAATCACGCACACCGATTTTCCGCACAGCAATTGGTCGTATAACTTCTGAGCCTTCCGCTTTGGCTTCTTCTGCTTCTTATACCTCTTTAGGCCCATTCTAGCTTTGGCCCGCTGGACGTTACTCTTCGAGGATCCCACTTTTTTAGCCACGTCTCGAACCGAAGCACTTTTTTGTGAGTAAAATCTTGAACAATTTTCCGGTACAGATTTTTGCTTGTCCTGGAAAGTTGCTTCCTCGCCATACTTCCGAATCGCGTTTCGAACGACTTCGATGGTGACACCTTCCAATTTCGCTAATTGACGCAGAGAAATGTTGGGGATAGTGCACCATTTGTGCACGATCTGTTTGCGCTTTTCCAGAGAAATTCTTCGCACTGTGACGGTAATGAAAAGAGCCGACACTTGCTATACACGGAATTGTTAGTTGAAATGTAAACAATGATTCACAGTGATAATCAGCTGTTTAAACGTCATCTAAACCAAACAGGGTTATTCCAAAATCGTGCTTAGACATTCTGGGACACCCTATATAAATATGCAATTCTCAATGGGTAAAATGGGGTATTTTTGTTTTAAAGTGTGTGAAATTATCAGCTTGTATTTCATACATTTTCGATTTCAAGCAGCCATGGACGTGAAAATGGAGCATGTCATAAATATATATAAATTCGTCTGGTATTTTTTAGAAACTGAAATCACTTCGAAAGAATGAAACATTTATTTTTAGCATCATTATAGAGGTAAAAAGGCACCATGCGTGGAAAATCCGTTCAATACTTCAAATCAGTACTTCAAAAGTGCTGGAACGTGCCAGCTATGGTTCATTTTCGTGAAAAATGTGGCTGGTAGTTAGAGGTAAAGGGAGAAAGAGATTTTAATTAAAGTATGCTAAGTTGAAGATTATATATGTAGTATATATGGCCTCATAGCTTAGTCAGTAAAGGCACGGTATTACCAAGCCGGAGGCGGCGGGTTCGATTCCCGGTCCGGTCGAGGGAATCTTTCGGGTTGGAAATTTTCTCGACTTCCCTGGGCATAGACACAATATACAAATTCACACGGAAAAAAAAGAGTTCCCATATTCGTGAACCACAGCCGTGAACCATAGTTCACGGTGTATATTTGAGAAAATTTTGTTCTGGATAGCTGGCCGTGATTTTTAGTTCACGGTTAGCCTAAATGCCCCTAATTTGGGCCTCTACATAAATTCAGCAATCGACTATATTGTCAATAGCGATCAAAATATCCATTAGTATCGTCCCAATGGCACGTTCATGTAGCTATTTTTTTTTTTTTTTTTTTTTTTTTTTTTATTATAGTCACTTTAACAATCTTGGGTTTAGCTAAAATTGATAAATAGCTGATATTTAGCGATGGGCCCAATCTTAGATCCATAGGCCAACATAAGAGCCTTTTCCCCTATATTACCTTTTTATTATCACATTAGCTTGAAGTCATTTGCAGTTGGATTATCAATGAATCACTTACATGACTAGCAACAAAATGTGAAATTCGAACATATTTATCGAAAGCTATCACGTTATAAATCACGATGATATAATTCGCCAGCAGATGTAAAATTGCTACTTTATCGTATTATGCGCATGGTTCCCATTAAACAGCCAAATTTAGCGTACGTGCCGGCTGGCACAAAATTCTTAATGATCCTAAATGAGTTATCAATAATAAATTAGCACGGTTTAATTTATTTATTCATTTCGTGAAATTCTATTAAATATAGATTTAAAACTAAATGGGGTAGGCTTCCCTTACGCCGAAGACAATATATCAAGAAGACTGCAATAAATAATTCTCCTGTTTTCGTATACAACCGCAATGAGACAGGTATAATCGCGTCATCTATCGCTTATTTGAACTTGAAAGCAAAGATGCCAACCTCAAAAGCGAGGTTTGTGTTTTCGTTCATTTTTTCAAGCTCAGAGCTACTATAACAATTGGATTTTGAAATTTGGCATAGTTTCCAGTCTTCTTAATTTGTTATTTTCTATTCTGGCTAAGTTGCCAGTCTTCGCTTATGTTAAACAAATGTCAGCAATAAAAATCTCGTTGTTAAAAAAACACCTCAGAGAAGAAAACTTTACGATAAACTTTTCATTTTCATTTATTTTGTGATGTGTTCTATCACAATGAAATACCAGCTTGGTTGATTTTCGCAATGGTGTGGAAATGGATGTAATGTCAGCCTAAATGTCCCTAATTTGGGCCCATACATAAATTCAGCAATCGACTAAATTTTCAATAGACACCAAAAATATCCATTAGTACCATCCCAATGACGCGTTCATCTAGATAAAATTGATAAATAACAGATTTTTAGCAATAGGTCCAATCTTAGATCCAACATTAGAGCCATTTCACCTACGTCACTAGCAAAAAAAGTAACGGCATTTTACTTTGTATATATAAAACAAAAAAAAAAATGCAAAATTATATCCTTTTCCGGAAAAAAAATTGGTATAAGTGGTAGCTTTTATTTTACCTACCAAATATTTTTTTTCTGTTTTCGCGTTCAAAATCGTTGTTGCAAAGATATGTTGAAACCTCCATACATTTTTTAAAAATATATGTTGACCCATAGGAAGGCGGTGGCACCATGTTGTCAGTAGTTGTGAGATGAAAATTGACAGCTTACCGTAGTCTATTGAGGTCTCTTCCTTAATTACCATCCTGGTGCTGTAACATTTTTTGACATCTAAAAAGTATTCATCGGAAAAAAAGCTTAACAACCTGCAAGTTTCCTTCGTAAAAGACATTCGACCCTATTCAGATGCTACTTATGACACTATAAGCAAACAACCCCATGTCCGACCGAACAACGTAAACAATCTGTAACACAAGAACATAACTAGCGCAAACCGGTTTTCAATCGTTCATATGGTCTTCGAATCTGTCGAAAACGAACGCAAACACACAGTGGATGATAGCTATATTTTATATAACGACCGGAGGCAAAGTATTTCGGCGAATGGACCGTAAAAAAGGAGAGGCAGCGGTAGGAAAATTCAAGGTCATTTACGGTTGTTTTTGCCTGCCTGTTCGAGTGTGTCTCACCACCTTTACTCAAACAACGAAACGAGCTAACAAAAAGAACGGTGCGTTCGACATAAGCTCTCCGGCACCCCACTACTCATCAGACGCTTTATTTTTGTACGTTCTCTGTTTTGATCCACCGATACATAATAATAACACGCAGTTATTGCCAAGTGGAAGCCTACTGACTGAATTGAAAGTGGGTTTCTGTGTTGTAGAAAAGGTTCAGAATATGTACACAGGGAGAGAAAACCGAATCACTCTTTCCCCACAAATTACTCGGGTGGAAAATAATCGCATGTGTGTGTGTTGTAGTTTGTCTATTATTTTCATGTGAATCCATGATGCTGGGCCGTATGAATAAAAGAGTTAACTTTACTTTCCCCATAAGAAAAAAAAGCATAAAAGAGATTCGATTACCCTCTTGCTGAATTTTTTGGAACAAGTTGCATTACATATAGTTGCAAATTTAGAGCGCATGATCCAACCAATTCTTATGAGCTTAAAATACTGAATTTAGATGGGACATAATGGTGTCCCTAGAAACTATATTTACAAGACAATTGGGTTGTTTAGGGGTATTGAGGTAAATTCATATTCGTTATCTGCATTAAAAATGGAACCGAAATCCAAAATTTCAACAATTTTGGTACACTGGAACTATTTTAAATAAGTTAGATTACATTAGTAAAAATCACCATCTTATCGCCCCTTGGTGGGACTTTGTTTGGGAGCGAGCTGTCAACGAATAGATGTAATGTCAACGATCAAAAATTTAAATCTTGATTTAAAAATCGAGATGGATGCCTACGAAATCGATAAAAATATCGTTGTGCTCAGAAAGCTCTATCAATGCAAATGTTTCTTAGTTGGTAGTAACGTCACCTGTGGCGCACATAGTCAATTATCTTGCGCTTAACGTTTACACACTACTGATATCTGTTGAGTGTACTGCCCGTGATAGTGTAAACAACAGACTGCGGTAGTGTTTTAGCAACGATTGTTTTACAGTGAAAAATATTCAAAGTGTTACGTCTGTTTGTCTGTGCACACATAACATAACTATTTCTTTCTATAGTTTCAGATTATAAAGCAAATTACGATGATGAATACTTGCAGTCAGAATGTTTAACATTGTTGATGAATTAATTAACTAATTAACTTTCTTTTCTAAGAAGATCATAATAATATGCAAGTTTTTTCATCGTTGAGTGTCATATCAAGAAGTCTAAATGTATCACTAATCCGATTTTAAATTCCATCAAATATTTTTAAATGGATGTATTTCCACAAGATCTTGATGCTGCATATAGTCTTTAACTGTACAAACAAACTCTATAACGCCACCTGCACGTGGAAGCGGACATTCGTTAAGTTGTATACAACACACGAATACACACGTAGCACAATCAGCTGATTGCTTGCACGCAAGAATCGAACCGGCATCGAACTTTGATGACGCGATAAAGCTATTACTCGCGAGATATGTACATAGCAATACACATATGTCATTCGACGGGAAATAATAACAAAACGTTCGTTGACAGAGTGACCACGTTCTGATAACGCATACAACAACAAATGTGCACAAAGATGATATGTAATTCAATTTTAACGCAGTCGATAGAAGGGAGAAAATGCGATGTTTACATTTCACTTCGTATGTAGCGCAGTAATAGCCATTTCAAATTTGAAATTGTATGTGCACTGGCACTCATACATGCTATACAATGAATTGGAAATCAGGGGTACTTACTTTGAGCTGCCAGCTGTTGTTGGTGTTGTGCTGCCGCACGCTGAAATAAGATAAAACGAGAATTAAGGTTATTTAAATGAAGAAGACAATCTTTGTACAAAGCGCGTACTTATTAGCCTAGCAGGGTAAACAGGGATTGTTGTGATTTATTTTTGCAATATGTATCAACCTCGATAAATAAATCCACTGAATATGCCGTTCCTGTTGTTCTAGGTTGTTCCACAGGAAACCGAATGGCATGAATTGTTCAGAAATATGTAATCACAGTGGCGTTTCCTTAACCTCAATCTAGCTGTGCATCAACTCTCAAAACATAAACAATTATCAAAATATTGCTTGCAATGCAAAAATACCGAGTAAACCAGCAGATTACGTGTATTTTTCAACCGATTCGAGTATGAATATGGCATTAAAACTGGTGGTTTTGAATGTTGGTGCACAGGTAAAAAGTGAGGTTACGCGTGGTTATTGGTTATTGTACGCTTCCATTAGGCATATTAAAGACTGTACTCGAAAAAAGTGAGACACATTGATTAGTTTGTTACTTTTTACTGTGTGGGTAAAAATTTATGAAATTTTGTCTGAAACTAGTTAAGAGTGGAATGTATACGCTGGCAGTATTTCATCACAATCTGTCAAGTGGTTATTGAGATGGCATCGGAGCAAGAGCAGATCTGCCAAAATAATATTTGTGCTGTCGTGGAAAATCCGACTGCGTCCCACAGATGGATTGGGAAACACCTGGGAATCCATCATTCGACGATTTCCCGAATGGTGAAGTTATTCAAGGAGACCCATACGACCCAGTGGCGGGCAGGCTGCGGCAGAAAACCGAAAACAGCTGACCCGGTGAAGGCCAGGAAGGTGTTGCAAGAAGAAGGTGGACAAAATCGCCAAAAAGTTCTTAGTTTGGCAGGCCATCTGTGGGTCAGCCGTACATCTCGACAGGCAAATCTACCCGGCAGAGTACTTCCAGAAGCGCCTCCAACCCTTCATGCGGTCTCACGGCGGCGGGGACAACAATGTTGTTTTTTTACCAAAAGACGTCAATGGGGGGAACACGATTGAGAAGTGTTGGGCCATCATGAAGCCCAGACTTCGTGAAACACCCAAAGTGTTAGAGAACAAGCTGGCTTTAAGAAATAGTTGGTGAAAGTATCAAAAGAACTCGACCCCACTATTGTTCAAAACCTTATAAGTAGTGTCGAGGGCAAGGTGGGCATTCGGGTATGGAGCGGATATCCAATAAAGGAATGAAGTAGAAACCTAACCATAATGTTGTAGTTTATCCCCTGAAAGTTTGAAGAAAATCCAACTTAAAATGAATTTTTAGCGACCATTTTTGTGTGTCTCACTTTTTTCGAGTACAGTCTTTATGCATGCCTCGGAGCGAGGGTGCAATGCCCACCTTAGCCTGCTAATCTTTATGCTAAAATAATGTTCCTAGAGTAGTGTTCCGTTTTTCAGGGTGGTCACTGAATTTAAGAAAGTAACTTCCCGGTTTTCCCGTATTTTCCCAATAGTACAACAGAAAATAGATTTTCAGAATGATCTGAAATTTTAAATAATCTTAAAAGTCTAAAAATTTGAAAATGTATCTAAGTTACAAACGAATTATTGTAAGGACACTTGGTCGAATTTAATAGATTGAGCTTGGGAATTCTTTTAGAAAACAATGAGATTACGAATATATGAATACTCGGACTAAAATTATGTTCGAAGATTACTGACAAAATTGTTAAGATTATGAGGCTTGGTCAGTTTTACCACATTCTTTAACTTTGCTAGATTTTTAACTGTAAAAATTTCGTATTTCAAAAATTTCAGATTGAAAAAATCTTGTCTCTTGGACTGAAAAATTGAAAGATTCTGACACTATCAAGCATTGCACAGTGGTCCAGAATGCAGATTTAGCCTGAAATTGAAACTTTATAATAAAAGCCTCTTCTACTAAGTTGTTCCTTATAGTGAGGCCCTCATTTTTATGACAATGAATTTTAGGGTCGTTCTTATTCTCCTTTAAATCAAAAATCTATTTTTTTTGTTTGAATAAATTAAGGCATACATTTTGGAGCAAAGTTATAGCTGAGCTAATTTAAAGCAGCTTTGCGCAAAAAAACTTTGTTATATCTCTTAAATTAACCGATTTAGAGCTTTTTTCTTAAATTGAGTTTAGGTGTCTCTAAAAAAACAGTTGTTTTGCTCTAGTATTCTTATTTCAAATTTCTCAGTAAAGGTGTCTTCAAATAACTTTTAGATCTTTAGAAGGCGCAAATTTTTGCTGCCCAAGGCTTGTCAATATCTTTCGCCGATCAAGAGTTATTTACATTTTTCTACTAAAAATATGCTCTTTTTAAATGTTAATGTTAGGTCAATGTTATGTATCTCTGGTTGGGGCAAATAAAAAAAAAAGTTTTTTTTACGGTTTTCGAAAGGGCGTATGTTGTTCTCAATAACATGAAAAAAATGGAGGTATGTTATTTTTTAAAGTCATATAAAATCAGTTTGAAATTATTCATACTTTATACTATATTTGGGTATATCTTTTTTACTAGAAGAGATACAGACAACACATTTCGTTTTAAAACATTCGTCTTAAAGAGTTTTAAAAGTCTCTAGAAAATGACTTTCATGAGAAATTGCCATAAAAATGAGGGCCTCGCTATAAGGAACAACTTGTAGAAGAGGCTTTTAGTCTAAAGTTTCAATTTCAGGCTCAAAACATATAATTCCACCTAAATCTGCATTCGTGACCAGAGGTTAGAGAATTATGACGAGAATGCCAAATGAGTATTAAGGATAACTCTGGGAAGAATTCCAATGGAATTTATCTAAAAATTTCAGGTAATTTTAAGAATTATCTCATTGAAAATGTAAAGGGGAACTAAACATGAGTTTTAAGATAGTTTTATAGAGACTATTATGGTCATAATGATTATAATTTCAGGGAACTTCAAACGAAATCGAAATGAATTTCAGAGACCATTCTAAGGGAATTAAAAGCCTTTTTCCTACAAAGTAAAATTTACCCTTCGGCAAACATGACTAGGCATGACAAAAATCCTGAAACAACGCCTAATGATCACCTACAGCTGATTTTTTAAAAATGTTGATAAATCAATTGAAAAATTTTCAGAAGAGCTGCAGGGAAATATGAATAATAATTGCATAGAAATCTAATTCAAAAATAGTTAAAACAAAAAGATCTTTGCACAATTTGTCTAGTTTGAAGATGGTTACAAAAGAATGTATAACAATTTCGAGCGAATTTCAAGCAGTTTCCGGGAGGGCTTGGCATGAAATTTTAAGAAAAGGTCAAAAGACGTTATGAGTAGTGTAAGGAGAGTTTCACGGACGCCTTTTGCAAAACTTAAGGTGCGCAGAATACATGAGTGAGTTAGTGAAATGAGTCATTTGTCCGAAAAATCACCGCGAACATGGCACATCAGTCAATATATTATCGTATAACAAAAATTTCAAGATTCTAAGACCTAGAGAATTTATAAAATTTTCGATATTTTAGCAAAACAGTGCCGAGGCTAGAATTTCAGTCAGGAGGGAGGGGCATTTTGTAAAAATGACGTGATGAAAAAACTTTATTTTTAATTAAATTTTAAAGATTTCATAGCAGTGCTAAGTGTTTCTTATCAGTAAGAACGAATGAAACGATTTCCGCGATTTGCATAAAAATTACGTTGTCAAAGAAAGTAAGGAAATAGCTAGAATAGGCATGGAAAATAAGACAAAATGAAAACTTTTTTAAGAGGTTTGAATGAATTTAAAAAGAACTCTCAGAAAAAACATCCGGAGACACTTTCGGGAGAAGTTACTAGGAGCTTTCAGAATAAATTGCAAGAATCTGATGTTGGAAATCATCGATGATGTTGGAAGAAGTTTCGTAAGGAAACCAGAAGCACTTTTGGAAGAAGTCGACAGGAACATCCGGGAGAACCTGGACGAATCTTCTGGTGCAAGTTGTATGGAACATCCTGGAACCATCCTGAGCGAAAAGATGTAGATCCAGATAGATTAGAAGAGCATTGGAAAAATAAAAACATAAACTTCCGGAAATCTGAAGAATCTTTCGAATAAAATTGGAAGAAAATTCCGGAGGTACCTTCCCAAGGATGCCAGATGAACCGGAAATTTGAAATAAAAAACTTTCTCATGTATTTCTAGACTACTACAAACATTTTTCATCAGGACATCTTTAATACACAAGTCCTTTTCGGATATTTGTCATACAAAAATCTCTCATATTGACTCAAATTTGGCAACAGACAACTCTCCCGTACTTGATATTGAAGGAACTTTCCAGGTAGGGAGGATATCGAGTTACGAAGCACAGTGTTCCCTTTTGCCGTCTTCATTCGCTTTTTAAAAAGCATCTCAACCATTGATTTTTGAGATATAGTTTGTTCGGAAAGATTCTGATTAGTGTCGGAGACGAGCCAGCCAACGGCTGAAAGTCTCCTTAATAAAGACATAAAAAAAAAAGATTCTGATTAAAAGCAATTCTGAAAGATTCTGGTGATTATTTACCCCACCAAAAAGTGATTTTTTTTTTGATTGATGCAGATCGACACTTCTTGTCTTCCGATAAGTTGTAGCAAATGATATGTCAAGCAACTTTGCTGAAGACAACAAATTCCTAGCTCATATACTTTACGAGATATATGCCGTTGTTTGTGAAAAGCCCCATTAAAATCATAATTTATAGTATAACTTGCTTCTAAGATTTCCTTCATCTTTAGCACCTTCTACAAACATAACCCTAAAACCCTTCCTTCAATGGGCCAGCGTGACAAAATTGTCAAGATCTAGAGCTTTGGAAAAATATTCAAGATTCCGGAATTATGATAATTTAATGTGGTTCTGAGATTTTAAAAGTTGGATTTTCCTCGCTATAAAACAAGTTTGAGCCCACATCCTGGAATGAAATTAAAAACAGAAAACTGTGAAGGCAATAATATAATAATTAATTTGTCCATGCGTCATAAGCATGTACTACTCTGGGATGCAATTTGTAACGTGTTTTAT